TAATAAAAACATCCCACATGATGATTTCTTCTTTGATTGAGAGCCAAAACAGAAGCAGAAAGATCGCTAAACTACATTTGAATGCTGCTGCTTTGCATCTTTCTGGTGGAGTCACCTATGCTAAAGAAAAGCTTTGACAGGTCTTTCACAGTACATGAGTGTCTCACATCATCAGTAGACGTTGAGGTTCCCCCTTATCTGCTGTAAAGGTGAGTTCTGCTGTAGAAACTGATATACAGTGTAATGAATGGTTTAACCTGCTGATAGTATTTCACTTATGTGTGGCTCACTTCACTAGGAATGATTGTTCAGGTGTTAGTTATTTAAAAAAAAAAAAAAGTTAATTTAGCTTTTTAGTTATTTGTTCCATACATGATTTAGGCGTGTGAAATTCTTGTAGGATGACATTGAGCAAATGCATTAGGTAAAATATTAATTTGATAAAGTAACATTACTTTGACTAAAGATCAGTAACATTTACACAGTACCTGTTCTAACCAAACCTCACCCAAATATCATTTTATTATTTTATATATTAGTATGTGTGCACAGATCTTCATGCAATGTCATTTTTCTTGTTTAAATTTATAGTTGATGTATATTTAAAAATACAGATGTTAGAGGAATTGATTTGCTTTAAAAAAATTATGATATTTATTTATTATATTTATATTGAAAGGTCATTTTTATTCATTATATAAACTTCTCCTTACATTTCCTAACACTATATTGTGTCCTACATTGTCATTGCTCAGAAAGATATATAGACTCATTATCAGTGAAATGTTGTGGCTGCACAACGGACTCCAGTCTTCCCCTCTGTGATTCTTTTCCTTTCTCTGGCTGTGCATACCTTCTCATTACAGTGTCAAGGCATCCTAAGGAAGATGTTCATTCTCATCCCTCTGCTGCTTTTTCTTTCTCCTGTGTGTGGAGATCTGTTAAATTTTAAATTTTACACTGATTCTTACATGACAAGTTGGACAAAGGCACAGACCTTCTGCAGAAAGTACCACACTGACCTGATCACAATCAGAAATGAACAAGAGAACACATTCTTTAATGGCCGAGGGTGGATCGGGTTATATCGAGCTAATACAAATACATGGAAATGGTCCAGAGGAGACGAGATAACTAGCTTCACCAAGTGGGATAGTTCTCGTAAGTAACATGTTTTAAAGCTCAAATATTTATCTTATACTTTTTTAGGTGTAAGTGCAAATTATTGAGCTAGTTATTGAGTTATTATAGAGATTGCAAGATCAAATTCTTTGGTATTAACACAAGAGTACTTTGTATTGTAAAGTACTATATTTATTTATTTATTTGTCTGTTTGTTTGTTATTTAATTGAAGCACTTTTCATAGGCCACTTTTTGCCAACGTCGGTGGCCAGATTTGCCGCTTCTCAGCATGTTTTGCAATTTTGTTAGATGTGCCGAGGTTGAAACTGCACTGAAAAAAGTATTCAGTGTTAAGGACAGAAAACTTTCACACATATACATACACATGATCAACACAAAAAGACACAAAAAGGCTTTTCTAGTAATTAATATTTCTTCTCTGCTTCTTCTTCTTTCAGAGCCAAGTCAAAATGGAGACTGTGTATATAAGCATAATGGTGTATGGTGGACTGACGGTTGCCATTACAATCATTCTTTCATGTGTTATGATGAGAAACTGGTTTTGGTGAAGGAGAATAAGACGTGGGAGGAGGCATTAAACCACTGCAGGTCTCTGGGTGCAGTGGACACAAATGATCCCAACTCTCCCTACAGGAACCATCGCTACGACCTGGCCACACTGATCACTACTGATGACCACACCTATGCACGGGAGAGAGCACAACAAGCTACCACTGATGAGGTTGGACAGTTTCCTACAGCTTATTCGTGTTGCTGAGAAACTCATACACCATGTTTACAATTGTCTCTCTGTTCAATGTTGTCAGGTGTGGACGGGCCTGTGTAACCTGGCTGGTGAGTGGCTGTGGGTGGGTGGAGGACAGATGCAATATGAAAATATTCCAAGCTGCCCAACTAATGGCTTCTGTGGCGTCCTCGAGAAGAGTGGTACTGCATCCTATGGCATAAGAAACTGTCAGCAGAGAAGGAACTTCTTCTGTTACATAAACCCTTGAATCTGACCACATTTACTCAAGAACTACTTTAGTTTAATTTTGATTTCCTTATTAATGACTCTTAGTTTTGACTGCTCAAAAGTTTGTACCCCAACCGCATTAACATTTTCCCTGAAAACTCATACTTTCATTGTTCATATGTGTTAATAGAAAACAATCATGGCACTGCCAAAGTTAGAAACAAGTATCTTTACATACAATTACAATTTTGTGTGTTAAACATTACTTTGTCAGAGAATCATTGGCATTGGCATGCAATTCCTTCTTGCTTCCTGGAGTGCCCGCTACAAATTCTACATTTCAGCAGCAGTGGAGGAGTTATCAGGTGGTGTAGGTTTAATTCCTTTTCTTAATTTGTCAAATAATTTGCACAAAAAATGACCAAAAACACTTGATGTAAATTCTTTCATTGTTTTTTCTTCTGCTTGTGGCAGTTTTTATCATGAATATCCACTGCTCTGCTGTCACACAACATGCTGCATGACAGGTGTAGCCAGTGATTTACAATGGCCAATTAATAAAGTACGTAGTTCAAATCACTGGGCAAAACAGCATCTGTATCTGTATGCAGTATCTCTGTGTTCCATGCGAGTCGATGTCCATGTCCATGGTCGGTTTCATGTTTCATGTCTTAGGTTCCCAAGTCATCACATGTGTTCAGGTTTTAGTTGTTCTTCCCAGTTTAGGATTTGTTCGGTTTGGGTGTTTCCAAATTCAGGGGTAGCATGCTTCAAAGTCCGCATCTGTAAGCAATGACATCACAGTGATGTGACGAAGGCTGTCCAAATTTGAAGAGTCCTCCAAATGCGACGACAAATGCGTCTTCCTTTTCCCCAGATTTGAAGGATGGGTCGGGTACATCCTTCGTAGTCCACCATATCCTAGGAGTCATTGCGGGTCATACGGGAGAATCTTTTGCATAAATTTAGAAGAAGAAGATGAATTTTGCGCATAACAATGGCGGACGAAGCGGGAGTGAAAGCAGGAGAGGAATACACTTAGCAGTTGTAGGAGACCCTATTGGCCCATTTCTATGGTGCTGATTACCACTAATAAGGTATATGTAATGGACTGGTAACGTACAATATCTCTTTCTTATTGTTAAATCATTGACCACTGGGGCTCGGTCACTCTGGCACAGCTGGCTGCCGGCGGAGCTCCCGGGCACATCACTGCAATGTGCCCGGGAGGGCTGTGGCCCCCCCACACCCTCTAGCAGATCATTACATGAAGGAACCTTTTAAAAACAAACCTTTTAAATACAAGCGCATCCATGCTGACAGGTGTACACACGGGTGCTCACACACACAAACGACACCCTTTTTGGCTCCTACCTCAAAGCACACTGTGCGCTGTCGATCTTACGTGCTGCACAATAATGTTTAATATTTAGTATTTACTGTTATATTCCCATATATCATCGTGATGTTGTTTATTCTATTGCTCTTAACAGGTGATCCAGGTGATTGATATATGTATTTTTTGTCTGCTTGTTTTGTTGGTTTTTGTTTTTTGCCCTTTCTCCCTCTTTCTTTCTCCTTTTTCTTTTCCTCATTCAAGTCTGTCCCGTATCTAGCAAGGGAAAATAAAAAATAAAATAAACAATAAAAGGTGAATCAAATGGACCATTACGGCAAGGCTGGGATGGTTCATTTGGTAAAGTAAATCCGTTGGGCATCTTTCTTCGCCTTTAGACAATAATTCTGATGGCAAAAGAGCCAAACGGGACAGGCAAAAAAAAAAAATCATTGACCACAACGCAAGCATGTGAGGCCTGTAGTTCTTTAGGTGCTGTTCTGGGTTCTTTTATGACCTCATGGATGAGTCATCAAAGCACTCTAGGATTCATTTAAATACTAATTTGAATAACAATTTAAATAGCAAAAATATAATTTAAAAAAATGGTCAGGTTCATCGACGTTACAAGTTTCCTCCCTCCCACCATGGTTAACTGGAGTTCCATAGCTTTAAAAATGGGTTTTAATCATTTCCAGCATGATGATGCCAAATATTTTGTTTCCCAGATGTTTTGTTTTTGCGTGACATGAGGTGTTACTTTAAAACTGAAGTGGCCTTTTCCATAAAACTCGGGTAATCATAGTTAATCCATGATTTGGGGTTGAGGTTGCATTTTCACAGCTTTTTTTCCACATTCAAAACTACCTGGAATACATGGAAATCACATGATGCTTGTAAAGAAAGCAGCAAAGCGAGTTATTAATTAATGAGACAACTAAAGGTTGTAAGCTTTGAGTTAAATAGCAAAACAAACAAACAAAAATAATAAAAACATCCCACATGATGATTTCTTCTTTGATTGAGAGCCAAAACAGAAGCAGAAAGATCGCTAAACTACATTTGAATGCTGCTGCTTTGTATCTGAAATGACAGAGATTTAAATTAATTTGTGGATGGAAAGCCAGAGCAATTCAAATGCTTTTAACATAGGAGGAGTCACCTTTTGCATAAATTTAGTAGAAGAAGAAGAATTTTGCGTATAACAATGGCGGACGTAGTGGGAGTGAAAGCGGGAGAGGAATACACTTTCAAATGTACATATATGAAAATCTGGTGGTACAAAATCTCCAAAAGTTGATTCTGTTCATCTGGATGTAGCGTTTTGTGGGAGAAACGTTTCGTCACTCGTCCAGGTGACTCCTTCAGTCTCAGCTGACTGCAGGTTTCAATCTTATAAACAGGACATTTGCATAATGACTGAAACCAGCCCACTGAAGGAACAATGGGCTGGGAGGTCAGATCCTTAATCTTAATTATGCAAATTCTCATGACCATTGATCAGCAACCACTGATCAATGGTCATGAGTACCATTCACAGAAAGTTGGGGAATGGCTGCAATCACAGCATTTTGTACTGGTGGTAAAAAAGTTAAATTTTTGTAGTGGTTGTGGTTTTAGACTTTGTGCATTTGTTTATGGTTATTTTTAACAAAAATAATCTTTGTAAAAATTGCCAGTAAAATAGCTTGTATGGTGGGTCCTGCAGTTTTTCATGTAGTGGAAATTTCATCTGAATTTCAGGCGTGTGACCACGCCTCCTTCACGCCCCTCCGGCCTCAGGCTATAAAAGCCCCCCTTCTCAAATACCTGCTGTTCTCATTTTCATCCCCCCATTTTTCCCTCTCTTCTCCTCTTTTCCTTTCCTTCATTCATTTCTCATTAGTGTGGAGATCAGGGAAATTATTTTGCTGCTATTGTTAATAATCATCATCGTTATTATTGCATTAATAATATAATCTACAGCATTGATATTGCATTCAGATGTTTAAACAGTGTGTGTCTTTCAGAAAGACTAAGTTGCAGGCTGACAGGAAATTGCAGGTTTGCAGAGTGTGCCTTTTGCAGAAGTGAAATCGAAAGCAGAGTCTAAGTGCAGGTTATTCTGAGGATTACATGTAAGGATGAGCCTCTGTTCTGGTGAAAGGTCAGAAGTGCAACGGGTGAGATGAGAGAGCATATAAGGACGAGACACACATACAGTTAGTGGGTTCATTTATAGGTGAGAGGTTAATCATGTTTGCTTGTAACTGTGGGTTTTGGAGAAGCGGCAGTCAAAAGGTTGACAGGAAACATCTGCCATGAAGATAGAGACAATGTTCCTTTTTAAACTGTGTTAAAAGTCATTGTGGTTTTGATGTGACCTATGTATGAAGTGTATCTGATGACGCATGAGGGGGCCTCATTAAATTCAAACCCTGATGGTATAAAATATCTGCCTATGCTTTGATTAGTCGGAGATCAGCGCTGTCTGCGAACGGAGCTGGTCCCCCCACACGTGTATTTCATTAAAATCAATTGTTTGACCAAGCTCTTGTTGGACCATGGTTGTTTGTACTCTCCTTCCTCAATATTTGAACCTTAACATTAGTACATGGGGATCTGCCGTCGGCAGTCCCAAACTGCAGCATCAGTTCACACTTCCTCATCCCTCATCGCCCAACGTTACTGAGGATGTGGTCCCAGCTAGTGAATTGCCGCTTAACACAACTACTTTTGATTTTTTCAAGTTAACCTTTGTGATATGTTTTAGGGAACAAAGACAAAATGGCTCAATTTATTAAAATGAAAGGAGAAATTGATCACCTCCTCTCTGGGGTGAAGAATTCGGCCACTGTGGCATGGACGTACAAGAATAAATCAATAAATCAAAGCACACATCATATTCATCATATAAGCAGGGGTGCACATAAGTGGTCCGCAGGTGCACATTCGCTGTCAAAATAAAAGACGCGCACCAGATAAGAAGTTGCAACACGTGTTTGTGTACATATAAAAGGCTGTTTTTGTCCGCTAGAGAGGGATTTTCACGGCATATTCTGCACCACATCTCTGTGCGTTCATCATTTGTTTGAAGCCAGCTCACCTGCTGCAACCACATATCTGAGACTAAGCTCTTCTTTTGCGGTTCGGACTCCTTCTGACATTTCTTTGGAGGTGGAGGAACACCAAAGTAATTGCTTAAAGGAGCTTACTTCTTTGACGTCTTTAAGAGGTCTAAACAAATGTCTGTCCTCCTCCGGAAAGTCTTATGTACGCAAACGTGCGTTGCAACTTCTTATATGGTGCGGGTCTTTTATTTTGACAGCGAATGCGCACCTGCGGACCACTTATGTGCACCCCTGCTTATAAGTACGGTTTTATTAACCCTTATGCTGTACAGAACCTGTGATGTCCAGACGATATTCCTCTTGTGTCCTGCTGTGAAAACCTTTGGATTTAGGGATTAACGTAGTTGCCATGGTTTTCTCTCTTCTCCTTTTTTTTGGTGTGTGATCAGGACAATTCTGGAGAAGGTGACCCTGCAGGGGAAATTCACCTCCTTGCAGGTCGGGAAAAAAATGGGGTAATTTAAAGAAAAAATACAAAGTATGTTGCTATCAAGAAGATAATTTGTAAGAACACACATTAATAAATGTGCATTTACTAAGAGTTGTTGTGTTGTTATCATTTGTCAACTGTCATTTCTGATTTCCTCTGCCTTTAGGATTGCAAGTATCCAGGGTCAGGAGAGGGAGTCAGCCACAGAGGCCTCCCATTAGGCCCCCTGTCCAAATTTCCTCTATCCCTGAGGACACTCCAGGACCACGCACAGCAGTGTGAGTGTGTGAACAAAATAAGAGGGAAGAGGACACTGATGAGGAAGGGCGGGAGCCACCCACAACATGGAGAAGAGGAGAAAGTGTCACGGCTGCCAAGGCGAGCCGTGTGGAGTTGGAAGAAGGACCCAAGATGCAGGCAGTGGATGAAATGCTGGTGAGGTTTATTAACAAAGGTGTAGTGGCAAACAAGCAGTGGGGCATGACAAATAACTGAAGACACCTAAACTGGGAGAACTAAAAATAACAGACCTGGGAGCATACGACAAAGGGGATGAGAAGCAGAGAGACGCAGACGAGGAACAGGACACCGTAGGACACCGTGGAACGCAGGGGGACGCAGGGGGACACGAAGTAACACAGACAAACCAGCAACAGGCAGGAGAACACACGGGGCTTAAATACACACACCAGTAATCAGGGGAATGGGCCACAGGAGGGAGACACAGCTGGGAGCAATTAGGCTAACGAGACAGGGGAGAGGTAAAACTGAACACACTGACATAAGACATGAACTTTCAGAATAAAACAGGAAACTAACAGACACAGAGAACCAGACAGGACACTGAACTTGACAGGCAGACTCATGAGCAGGCACAATAACACCATGGACAGACAGAGGGAACACAGAGAGTGGGAGCAGGCAGGCAAAGAACAGAAACCTAACAAATGGCAAAGTCACAACAGAATACACACTCAGAATGAACAAAAGCATAAGAAAACACAAAACACTGAGTCCTCAGACTCAGGACCATGACAGAAAGGATGAGGACGATAAGCTGCTTGACCTCATCAGAGAGATTATGATGCATCAAACAGAGGCTGAGGAGAGGAGAGAGGAGGGAAAAGATGGACAGACTTTTTCCATTCTTGAATGATTAGTCCCAAAATGAGACTGTATTGGAATGTTTTTATTACATTGTTATATTTGTTTTGTAAGTTTAAAAGTTTTATGTTATCAATAAATTGATTAAAACAAACATTAAACTCATTTTATTATAGGTATTTTCAACATGCATAAACAGAAACATAAACACTAACTTTAATTTTAAATGGATATTTATTCAATGACAAAGTAAATAACAATAAAACAAGAATATTTGCAATACACCAACAATATTTGAAGACAGGGGGGAAAATATTTACTGCTATTTACAA